TTGAGAAAACGTTTCTTTCTAGACGTTATTTGTAAGTGAACCGTTTAAAATATCGCTTTTAGTTTAACGTCTCCATTAAAACGAAAGTAAAGTTTGTCGCGGTTCTCTAAGAATATCAACTTTCGTACAAATTGACGACTTTTAAAAGAAAACGTCCAAGTAAAACATTATATCACGGTTTTTTTTTTGAAGGGTCTCTATTTCTTAGTGGTGAAACTAAGTAATATGAGTATTTTTCTTTTATACAAGTACGATTTTAATTTAAAAAAATATATTTTCATTTTATGTTTTTCATCAAGTTTATTATGCGTAACGACTTATACTTACTTCGAACAAACACGACGTGTTGGTACAAACAGACTTTTCTCTATATTATACTCGCTAAGAAAAGGTATCGAGCGGTTAGCCTGTGGATAAAGTATTAATTGTATTTGCATTCAATATTCTAGAATCATATTCGAGCTTATGGTCCTGCACTTTGGCAATTTTTCAATAACAAACCAACTGATCGAGTTTAACTCCATTTGTAAAGTATTTCGGTTAGGGCAGAATATTACCGGTAGTTTATTATACTACCGGCAATACTACATAGTTTATTGTACTACTTTCACTCGACCGAGGAATGTGCAAATAACTTTGAGCGAAATGCCCAAGGAATGCGGAATGAAGAACTATTTATTTCAAAGCGGAAAAAACGCAAGATGACATTATGAATTGCATTCGACAATATTATAATACATTGTTAACCCTCATAAACACCTCTTGGCAAAATGTGTTAATCGCGTTTAGCTCAAGTCGTTTTTACAAAGGCAAAAGTGCCAAAATAGTGTATTTTTTCTTAACCGAACCTATCCTAACCTGACCTGACCTATTTTACACGTGAACCTTACCTAAATTATCTTGTTCATCATTAATATAATACAGTATTGATTTCGGGACTTGACTTGGGAAAAAAGAAGTATATGTACTTTTCTAGCTACTTTAAAAAAAAAAATAACGTTTTTAGCGTTTTAATATAAATACCTTGATTCCCCCCCCCCCTTTACGGTCCCCTAAGAAGCAATTATACAAACCCATTAAACACGATATCAAAACGAAACAGAATAATATCATAATCGTTTAGGTATAACTTGTTTTTTTTTCAAAACCAAATGAAATTATACAAAACAATTATAAGCTTATTTTTGTATAAATTAAATAATCATTTTTAAACATCTTCGTTTTGTAATATTTATACACCTATTTTAACACAACAATTTTAGTACAGACATTTTTTTTAAAATTAGGTAAGTTTAAACAACAACCCGTTCCATGCGTTCTTCTTTGAAAAAAAAGTAGGGGTACGCTAGAATATTAAAACAAATTAGTTGGGGGTACTTAGTCCCCCCGTGCCCCCCCCAAATCAAGCACTGATTGATTTATGTATTGATACGGTATTTTCGTTATTCAAACAAATTGTTGAAAACTCTATACCGCGTGTAACGGCAGCCATGATAAAGGCAGCGCCGAAGTCTAAATGGCTTTCCCCATTGTGTGTCACGAACAAACTCTATTATCCAGTAATCGCTAGAAAATTGAATTTACCATTTCAGCCCTACGATTGTTTAGTCCAGAAGAAAATTATTTTTTCTGAACCATTTTTAGAAAACTATTTCTTCTATGGAAAATCCTATGAGAGTTGTAACATGAAAAAAAACTTCTCCGAATGAGTACTTTAAAAACAAAATTTTTCAAAAATTGTTCTAAGTCAGCGTCTAGTAGATGCGTGCCTGATGTCTCTCGTAACTGTTATATTATACTTATAAGTTATTTGAAATTGAAACGATACAGTAAGGATGACGTATTCAATACAACGCTGTTCGTTCCAGTCATTCCAGACAAGATGCGTTTGAATTGAGTACTGTTTTGTTGTACATCATGTACGTGTCTAGATACAATATTTGATATTATATGAGAAAGGTTACTAGTTTAAAAAGGCGTGGCCGGGAGGGGGGGCTAAGTAGGTACGTTTACATCAAAATGGATGTTTATATATTACAGTATTTTTTGTGCAATCGTCCGGGTCCGAATAAAATGTGCTGAAATGTTATTTTGAACGTTTTCCAGTCGATAGCAGTATTTTCTGTAGCATCATTGTTTTAAAATATAATATAAAGAAAAAAAAGTATTAAGGATAGTAAGAAGGAAAGTATTTTTGGATTTAAAAATATACCTACGCTTTATGAGCCTTTAGTTTTCAGTTTTCTTTTCGTTGTAATACACTTTGCGTTTAAATAGAGTTTTTTAATGACATGCGAATTTAACTCTGTGCGTTGTGCTTAGTAGTGTATTAACTATTTACTTAAGATCATTTTTTGTATTTCAAACTATTGTTTTATTATTTAAAATTTTGATATTTTCGTTTATCGAAAACCATAAAATATTTACAATAAGATAACTTATAACGATTATTTAAAATACAAACAGTTACGAAAACTTTAAATTTATATTTTAATTAAATAACTTTTCAATGACAATAACTCACTTCACTGTTTGTTTTATAATAAAATGAATAATGTATAATATTGTGTTAAATACGAATAATAATTTAATATGTTTAAAGCTCGAAAATTGAACATACTATTAAATTGGTATGTAACAGCATTTAAAAATGAAAAGATTTAAAATTTAAATATAAATAACTTGATTGTAATGTATGATATATTATATAGGCTTATTTTCACTTTTTAACTTTTATATTAATCTTTGACAGCAATATTTTTTGTGTAACGTTTTTTTGGTGGGTTTATGATCGAAATAACTAATATGTTCTAAGTCAAAAATGTACTCAGACTCTCGTGTTACTATTGAACAACCTATGTTAAAATTGAACTAACCCGTGAATGTTGTTGGAGCGTGCTATAATCATTTTGTTTTTTTTTTTTAACAAAAATAACAAACATTACCCAAAGAGAATAACGAAAATTACCCAAACAATTTGCCGAAAAGTTATAAATTACCCAAAAGACAGTCTATGAGTTTTTTTTTAAATTAATAAAATGTAAAACGTATAAACAAAAGAGGTGCTTAAACAAATAAAAAAAACATACATGTCAGACACAGTCTTGTTAGCTCATACACTCGCATGACGCCTCTAGCGAAGGTCTAATTGAAAATATTTTTTATAAAACATTCATAAAAAAAAGGGCTGTCGACTATCAGAGTTTTTACCTAACGGTATCTCATTAACCACTTTAATCGTTATATGGATCTTTTAAGGAAACGTCATCACGTAACGGCTATGCTGAAAGTTAATTACTAAACGACACTCTGGGCGACCAGATTTCATTTTTTTTTTTTGCTTACTTAAGATTATGTTTATTAGTGCCAACGTTATATTATATTTTACGTGATATTGATAAACTTTTTAAAGACTCTTAAAGTTTTCGAAATGAATCTTTTTAGTAAAGTTTTTAAAAATGAATGCTTGTTTTTTTTTTTTTTAATTTTACTATACCATAAATCGAACGCCTCTAAAATCGTTTATAACCCGAATAAAACATTAAACAAATAAGTTTACTGCAAACGTTGGTTAGCCGAAGAGCAAATGTCGAAACGAGAATTTAGATTTTATCGGTACAAGGGAAGAAAATCAACGACCCAAGACTAGTATCTAGATTAAACTTTATACCTATGTTTTGAAACGTTCAAATTGCAAACTTTTTCAAAATAGATAAAAACAACAGTTGCAACTTAATTTGTCAAATCGGATCCCTCGCCGAGTTTGCTTTGACAATACACAAACTGAGGTTTAAAGAGTTTATAACTTCGGAAATCTAAATTAACAATATGTCCAACTGAAATATCGTACAAATAATTTATCTGTACATTGACAAAGGACAAAATATACTAATTACAATATTGACTGATAACGTACTTAAGTAGTAACTTGTCAAACTGTAATATATTTCAGTGGTTAAGCCAACAGCCTTTAATCCACCCACTAGCTATTTATACATAAGAGATTATTATACACAATCCGCAAGCAAGGCTCACTTTACTTGGAAAGATGTTATTAAAAACGAACCGAGCATCTGTCCACGATTTCGGAGAAATTGTATTATTTACGGTATTTTTAATTATGTCTACGCCATGCTTACACTTTTTGTATTATAATGCGAAAATCCACTAAGAAGGTAAAAAAATATTTTGAACTATAATTGCCTTGATTAATAAATGATGTATTCGATAGGTAGATAAAAGTTAAATAATCTATTACTTTCATATCTAGTTTATATCACTCAAGTCAGTGGTCTTCCTAGGTATACTGCGTTATCTTTTCCCTAGTAGAGTTTTATCTTTGATTTACGAGTCGACTCAATAGTTGGTCCTTTCAAGAACTGTTGAAAATCGAATATAAATATTTGTGTATAATGAGTCATTCTAGGAGAGTTTTAAAAAATATATATTTTCACGATTTCCATTATTTTATATGGAATAATTTTACAACTCTGACAGGAAGCGTCGTTTGATATTTTTCCGAATAAACAATTTATTACCATAATGATGAAATTCGCTTGGAGTAGCTGCTGTTTTGGCTGTCTTCCGGTTTAAAATTTGCTATCCGCAAATAGTGTAACAGCTGTAGATGCGTATATTATTACATTTTGTTTAATATCAAACATTTTAATAAGCATTAACAAAACGGGGGAGGGGGTGGGGGTGCTGTGCCTCGTTGGGATTCCACGTCTACCAAACCCTTAAGGGCGAGTTTTGTAAATTAAACGGCACGTGTTAACCGTATTAATACCGGTACACGATATTTAATGTCACCCTGCTCGTTGAACTCTGTGAACTAATCACAGGTTGAACTTGTTTAATGCACGGGCACTCGTGTTTTATACAGACGGTGTACTAAACTTTTAAAGTGCGCTTATGTTCTAACAGCTAAATTGTTTAAGAACATAATATATTATGGCCGTTTTGTAGAACAAACGGGTGGTACCAAACTCTATACTCACCTCGAAATGGAGTCTTGCGAATAAAACACGGCCGGTACGTTCATTAATCCGCGAAGGATGTCCGACATTTTCGAGTATAGGTACCCCATGGAAAGCAGCGGGATAAGATATCTGAAAAAAAAACCATTCATAAACAATTAAGAACGTGGAAAATGTAACATCTAAAGTGTTTGGGCTATTAGAAAACTTATGAGAGTTTTTTTTATTACTGTCAGACCATATAGGACTGATATGTCAAAGGAACTTGACGTACAGCTTGAAGAGTTGGCCGAGGAACTCACCGCTTGAGATATTAAGAAATACAATTGCGGGGTACAGGCAATTCACTTTTTAAAAATGGCCATTTTGTTGTTATACAATGTTTGATAGGAAACAAATCTGTTATTTATTTCAAAACATGATTAAAAATTAAACATTTTTTAGCTTTACTTAAAAGAATGTTTTTCATAGATTAAAAAAAAAATTACTTTCCTGGTTTCTTTACTGTACCCTTCAATTCGTGCCAAGCGAATGTTACATGAAATATTAATGAGAATGAAATCGAGGGAGGTAGCAAAACGAGCAAGGAAGATAATTGGAATGGGTAGACAGAAATAGTACACGGAAAACGTATCAACAAAAAAAAAATCGGAGGTACAAATAAATATATTTTGAAAAAACATCCCGACAAAATATGTCCAAAATAGAATAACCTCCTTCTGTTTAAGTGGACGTTTAGCCCTCAGGACCTAAGACTTAGGACAACATATCCAAAATCCGAAGAGGTAAACGTAAACTAACGCGATAGATATTTTCAATAACACTAATATATATATTTTAATTGATTAATTAAAAATATAACGTTTCTGTTTTTTTTGCCTCGCATATATTATTTACAATTAAATAATTTGTTAAATTTTATGTTATAGTTCATATATATAATTTCAACATGATACCTTTTGTTAATTGTATACAAATTAACTTTCAACAGGACCTGAACCAGGCCTTATTACACACACACACACACACACAATAAAAACATTACATAATATTATTAATACAAATTTGCGTATTAACTTGTAAATTAAATCCGTCAAAAAATTTTAAATGCAATGATTTGCAAGTTGTCATGGTTGAACGAGTTTCCGCAGCTCAAGCCGAATAACCAGCAGGCTGATATTTCTTTTGGTCAATATTTTGATTTAACCAATCAAAAGTCAACGTCAAAAATATATTTTAAATGACACGCTATAGGGTTGTGGAAAGGCAAGCCAATTGCCCGAGATTTTTTATTTCAAACACGGAATATTGAGCCGAATGGCTATGCTACAGTACAAGTATGAAGGTTATATAGTTTAAAACAAAATCCAAATATTGGTCTAGTAATGTAATGTGTTTGCAGTTTGTATCGTTAATAAAATGAATCCAGCGATATTAACCGCCCTCATTGAACGGCATTAATGCAGGCATAAATAATTAATTAAAATACAATAATAATTGTTTACAATAAATAATAGGTATAGTGGAATAATACAAGTTGTTATGGCAAATTACTTTGGTCGCGCCTTACAACTATCAAGTGTTAGACAAACAAACAAAAATATATTGTTTTAAATAAACCTAAAAAAAATAAATTTATAGACACGACTACAAAATTGAAAAAAGCGAGGTAAAAAAAACAATAAATAACACTGGCCTTAATTTAAATTAAGCAAAATCAGGTTTTCCACAACTTTACAAATTCTATAGACCAAATTTCACTATAAATAATTTATTGGTTAAAAATAAGTTTGGCTATTATTTTGGGCTATTGAAAATCCCAGTTTTAACCATCTCTGTCTGTAAATCACTTGAGTTTTTTTCTTTTTAATAAGCCTATACTTATTTATTCGTTTAATAGATTGACTGGTTTTTTATAAAAACTTTTCCAATTTTACCCGTTTATTTCAAATGTATTTCTAGAACATTACTTTACGTTGGCCTTTTCGAGTAACATTTGTTGCAAATGACATGAAGGGTATAATCTAAACTTATGTATGTAGCCTGTATAAGCAAATTTTATTTTCAAGAAATAGAGTAAGCATTCGCGTTACCGACGTGCGATATTATTAAGGGCGAGTTATGAATGTTTGAAACCCTTCAAAATGTTATTTACAAATATATATATATATATATACAAGGCTCCGACGATAATAATATTTACACAGAAATTTATCTTGGAAACATTGCGAAAGTAAGTTGTCCAGATTTATGCTGGGTCGTGTACACACAATAAACTTGAGTACTTACTTTATGTGCATTGTGCATATATGTAAAACAAATATTTATTTTTCTTTCAGTTCTCCTGCCAAACTAAAAGTGTTTATTCCTCACAGAGATGGACAATTGTGTCTTGCAAAAGGTTATTTTTTTAAAAGTTATTCGAATCAAGTAAACTGGGTAAAGTGCAAAGCTAACTGGATTTCTATACATTTGTGTGGCGTTAAGTGATAAAATGTTTTGTTTGAACTTAGAATAAACATACAATCGATTTGACACTGTCTCTGTACTATTTATTAAATATATAAAAGTATCATACTTATAATTTTATATTGAGGTGAGACTTTCGAGCTTGCCCTTTTGTGGCATTATAAACAACAAAAAATTATTTAGTAACCATTTGACTAAAACTTAAAATATGAAAAACTTAATTTTATTTATTTTGGTTTTTAACTGGAAACCACTATTCCACAACTGCATGAAAAGCTATAAAAATATAATTTTCCCAATAAAATTATTAGGTTTAAAATAATTTGAAACTATTTGACAAATAGTCAATTTGTAATAGTCAATGGACAATGTGCATTATATTTAGTTAAGTATAATAATTGTAACTAAAAATATAATTATTTGTTGAATTATGGTGGACTTTAGCTGTTTAAAAAATTAACTATACATTTATGAAAAAATAAATTAAAACAATTATGACGAATGGGGAAAAAGACTAGTACATCTAAAATCAGATGTTTTTGGGACTTGCGTTTACAATTGCCTTGTAAACATTATTTTGCCTTCTATGAGTGTATTTACCCTCAAATGGAATTATCATCATGTAGCTTAACGGGCCACGAAGGCCCAACGCTGCCATTATGAGATGGTTTCTTGATGAATTTAATAGGAAATAAAAAAAAATTAATAAGTTTTAGTTAGATTAAATAGTACTGTACACAATTGGATAAATATATAATACGGTTGACAATTAGTTAATAGTAAACCAATTACTTGATGGATATTTAAGGATAATTTTTAACGAGGAGCTATCACTTTGTTTTTTTTTTTTTTTAATATGGAAGTGTTATTTTTATTTTTGTTGACATTTCTTATTCTCAATTAAAATTCGAATATAATTAATAATAAATCAAGGGGCTACAATATTTTACAAAAGCATTCATTAATTACTGTATCGTAATAAGATGATATTTCAATACCTAATGTTTTTGTTTTATTACAAATCGTTTATTTGTTTAGAGTATAACAAAAGAATATCTATCTTAACACTGATTAAAATGTTTTAATTAAAATGCATTCGTCTGCAGCTCTTTGAATACAAAATTAACGACACACAAATTGATCATTATAACAGCAAAACGCGAATCGTTCAAATATGAGGTAATTTGAGCTTTAAGATGAGATATGTATTTTACTATTGTTTGAAATTATTAATAAAGGTTCCCTTTTGCCATCAATTAAGTCAATATTTATTGATACCTTATGTATAGTGAATACAACAGATAACTTGTATACAATTTCAAAAATGCCTTTCTTCTGCGTTGTAGCGAATCAACTATTGCATACAGTTAAATTGTTACATTTTTATATTAGTCAGTAAAAAGTTACAAATCATTTTTGTAATAGTTACCACACGGATAAAATTACATTCTAATAATTAAAAAAAAGATATTCGGATAAAATAAGTTTTTCATTGACTTTTGAATTGAAAAGAAATTCGACCGTCGCGTCGTAGTGCAATTGCAATATTTAATTTTATATTAAAGAACTTGTACACCAACTCTGGACGGTTTGATTAGTTTGTAATTTCACAGAAAACTAGCAATATTTGTTCAGCGAGAAATTGTAATTCGTGCGGTAGGTTTATGTTATTCTTGATTGGGTTTCCGCAGTGGTAGAATACAAATTTTAAGTTGTTAAAGTCTAGCGTGTACTTAGCAAGGAGAATATCATGGCATGTTTGCAATTTAAGTTTTTACTCGTGTGTTAGTTTGATACATGCTCTAAACTCAAAACCGTAGTTCAGTCAAAATATCAATATTTCATGTAAGACAAATTTTGATAAAAGTAAACATAAAACAATAAGTGAATAAGTGAGCCAGTGAAGCCTTACTGACTACAGTGTCAACATATTGAGAAGACATTAGTAATGAATAAAAATAATAAACACCTAGTTACTCTCTCCGCTCTACGGGAAAACATTCAATTATGGATATGTTATCTCATAACTCTTATCACTTATCTCTTATCGTTTATCTCTATCTGAAAGTGTAACGCAAAAATGGCGACATAAAATTTCTTGTGCCCAGTCCAAAAACATATCCATGTTAAAAAAACATTCGCTGAAGTTTAAAAATTTTGCTAAAAATTACTGAACTAATTGTACTTATAGAAGTTCTAAAACTGCGATTGATATTTTACTTAACACAAATGATACATTTTATGAAATTTAAATGACCACCATATAACCGTAATGACAGTTTGAAACAACTTTATAAAAATGTGTACATAAAAATGATAGAGAACCCAAACATAACTAAGCAAATAAATTAAAGCTGCATGAGGTAGTATCAGAGTTTAATTATAAAATAATATATTGTTTATAAATATTGAAAAAAATAACACCTGCCTATTGGCGGAAAATATAAACGTTGCGTTATATTAAGTATAAAATATCAATCCAGTAAGCTTTGATTAAAATACAAATTATACTTTTAATCAACTAATCAAAATTTAAACTCGGCATGTCACATGGGTGCTAAATTATTATGAGAATCAGAAACCGCCTGGTGTGGTTTGAAATAATGTTATTTTTCCAAAGGCCAACATGAACGAAGACAAACATTTATAGAACAAAAACTTTC